AGTAATATTTTCTACTTTTTTCCTTATTTCTTTTCTCCTCTTTAGTCTTTTTAATCCAATCAAAGATAAATTTATCTTCTTTATTTTCCAACTTATCTTTTGAGTATATGATTGTAATTCTTTTACTATAAATTTCCAAGCAATCCACTCATGTATCTTTTATGATTTTACATTTTTCTGCTTTCCTTTGTTGATGGACCTTTAAATTTATTTTGCAATTCGAATCCAAATATGGAAAAATCGTTTCACTTTTTTGACTGAATTTATGAGGATGCGCCATCGGCTTCAAGTCCAGATTCATCATATCTACACCATAATCAATGATTCTTGTACTCTCTTCTCTTTGCGGGGAAAAGTGCCAAAAAAGTCCTAAACTTTTTGCATTAGTGCCAATTTAGTCCTAAACCTTTTTTTGGTGCCAATTCGGTCCTAAACCTTTTGCATTGGTGCCAATTTAGTCCTAAACCTTTTTTTGGTGCCAATTAAGTTCTAAACCTTTTAAATTGGTGCCAATTCAGTCCTAAACCTTTTGTTTTTGTACCAATTTAGTCCTTCCGGTCAACTTTAACCGGAATTTTGGCGATGGGCCTTTGTCGGCGGCCGTCACCGCGCCGACGTGGCGCTGACGTGGACAAATTAATTAATATTTTAATATTTTTTTGAATTTTTATTTTTTCCTTTTTTTTCTTTTTTTTCCACTTTTTTTTTTTGGTTTCTTCTTCATCTGGCCGGCGAGCTCGACCTCGCCGGCCACTGGGGAGGGCGGCCTCGCCCGGCGAGGCCGAGCCTTGCCTGTGTCGGGCGAGGCTCGAGCCCTCGCCGGAGGCCGCGGCGAGGGCGAGCCTCGCCATGGTCGGGCGAGGCCCGACCTCGCCGGATCTGGCGAGGTCGGGCCTCGCCCGGCCGCGGCGAGGCCCGACCTCGCCCGGATCCGGCGAGGTCGGGCCTCCCCGACCATGGCGAGGCTCGCCCTCGCCGCGGCCTCCGGCGAGGCTCGAGCCTCGCCATGGTCGGGCGAGGCCCGACCTCGCCCGGATGCGAGGTCGGGCCTCGCCCAGCTCAGCCGGCGAGGCCCGACCTCGCCAGATCCGGCGAGGTCGGGCCTCGCCCGACCATGGCGAGGCTCGCCCTCGCCGCGGCCTCCGGCGAGGGCTCGAGCCTCGCCATGGTCGGGCAAGGCCCGACCTCGCCGGATCTGGCGAGGTCGGGCCTCGCCACGCCGCCGGCGAGGCCCGACCTCGCCGGATCCGGCGAGGTCGGGCCTCGCCCGACCATGGCGAGGCTCGGCCTCGCAAGGCGAGGCCGCCTCCCGGTGGCCGGCGAGGTCGAGCTCGCCGGCCACGGCCTAGCGAGTCGCCGGACCGGCGACCGGCCGATGAAGAAGAAACCAAAAAAAAAAGTGGAAAAAAAGAAAAAAAGGAAAAAATAAAAATTCAAAAAAATATTAAAATATTATTTAATTTGTCCACGTCGGCGCCACGTCAGCGCCGGTGACGCCGCCGGCCAAAGCGCCCACGACAAATTCGGTCAAAATTGACCTAATGACTAAATTGGCACAAAAACAAAAGGTTTAGGACTGAATTGGCACCAATTTAAAAGGTTTAGGACTTAATTGGCACTAAAAAAAGGTTTAGGACTAAATTGGCACCAATGCAAAAGGTTTAGGACTGAATTGGCACCAAAAAAAGGTTTAGGACTAAATTGGCACTAATGCAAAAGGTTTAGGACTTTTTTGGCACTTTTCCCTCTCTTTGCGTGGTCCAACTAGAAAGGCATTGCAAGTGAACGATTCTGGCTTTGCAATCTCCCAAGAGCAATCTATCAAGCAATTTGCGAATTGATATTATGTGTATTGTAACTCTTCCCGAATCAAAAGTTATGACCATTTGATCGCACACTAGGTGACTTCACATCCCGAGCCTGCCTATTAGACTTCTGCTTGTCCAAATGATCTAAAAAGTCTTCAGCAGTCGCATTCAAGTCAGAATCTATTGAGAAGAAGTGGCACCAACATATGGAAATTGTTCGAGATTATAAAAATCCCACATGTGAGCCATTGTGTAGTGTGCAAACAATGTGAACTGTTGCTTATGACCGCATTAATTCATCAAACTTGAAATATCTGCCATCGAACTTGGATATAATGCCTGGCACTACACCAATTTAGTTTGGTCCCAGACCAATGAATCATAGTCCCTGTTTTTATAATGACAGAATTTCGGCGTTCTCCGGTCCCTAATTGTTTGCTCACGTACGATGGTCCCCAGCTCTTGAGCTCTAATACCACTTGTTGAGCTTTAGAGGCGTAACATATGAAAGTGAAAGCCTCGATTGCCGGTAACAATTGTCGGCAACTTTCGAAGGTGAACGACTTTAATTGGTAACTCTTAAGGAAAAACACTCAAGGAGAGGAGAGGAATAAGCTATTTTATTATGACTTGATTCACCTTACAAATACTTCGACCAGACTTGCCTTTTTATAGGCACAATACATGACTCTTGATATAGCTCATAAATAACTATACATTTATTTGATATTAACTAGACATTGAAACACGAAAGGTCAAGACTAAATACGAACAATCACATTAACGAGTCATTGAAATACAAAAGATCAAGACTAATCAAGAAATATCTAGAGAGATAAGGCGGTGATATATTCAAACTTTGATGTCAAAGAGTTAAAGTTAATAAGAATTGATGTCACCGGTTGTCCATCGATCGCGGCTTTGAATATTGTATCAACTCAGGCCAATGTGGATGAGGAAGTGCTAAGACTATTCAGACAAAGAGGAATCTCTTAAGTGGGGACGTAGGAGATCATGTGGAAAGTTTATACGGGCCAACGCACGCGGTCTTGTGGAAAGATAACACGCGTCTTCGCCGGGACTGAGTCAGTGATAGGTAATGGACTCAATTGAAAACGTAGATATTCCTCGGTCGGACAGTGAAGGCATATACTTTGTAGGGACATGGGAAGGGTCGGCATTAGGGGACCAATTAACCCTACGACATTTCAAAACGCTAACGTAAGAGACGACCATAAGAGTAGCGGTCTCGCCATTTATATCTGATTGTGAAATGACAGCAAAAGACGAGCACGACGTTCCTGGCGGAGGAAAGAACGTCTTTACGTCGCCAAAGGACTTGCCTTACCCAATTCTCTACCTCATAGAGCATCTAGGATTGCCTTCTAGAATCCCATCACGTTATGGTAAAGGCTCATTTTTATTCCTAGAGGGCTTCAAGTATAAGCACAGAGTTTCCAAGTCTAAATTAGGCTGAGATGATCAGATGCGTAAATCTGTGTGCACAATCATATTTGAGACGGGCTTTATTCGAGTGGAAGTTTCGTTTTTTTGCAGGGTTTTGGGTTAATGTGATTGGAGGTCATGCTGTCACAAGTTGGCAAAAGGGTTCAACCTCTGACCGGAGAGGAAGGTAATCTGAGATTCGAATGTGTAATCCCTTTTCTGAAGTAGGTAATTAGCCAAGTAATTCACCAAAGTCTATGGGTAGCCTTGAGCCAGCCGGGCAAGTGTAAGTATGGAAAGTCAAATGTCAACTGTTATTAATATACATCGGTGTTTGATGTATGATGTATTGTTTTGATATTGGAAAAAATTTACTGTACTTCGATTTTGTGAAATTTTTTCTGAAAAATATTAGTTCTTCTAAATTCATTTTTTTTGGATTTTGTAGAATTACTTACTTTTTCTTCGAATATTTTTTAACTTTTGGAACTTTAATTTCAAAATAAGTTATAAAAAATTTTTTGGCCCTCGTATAACGTGCCCAAATTTGGCACGTGGGCCGGCAAGGCCCGCTAGAGTGACGTACCGTGCCTAGCCCGGATGTTTAGGATGTGAATAACAACATTTCTCTTCCCCGACCCTTTTTCTGGCTAGAAATTAAAAAAATATATTTCTTTTTTTCGGACGAGTTTCTGAATAAAAAGTAGCGTTTGATAACGACACAATATTTCTGTTTCCGGAATAGAAATTCGTTTGATAACGACGCAAAATTTCTATTCCCGCTAGCTGGCGAGCGGCGGTGGCGACGGGTGATGGCGGATAGCTGGTGAGCGGCGATCGGGGGTGGCGACAGATGGCCGGTGAAAGGCGGCGGCGGGCGGTGGTGGATAGTCGGCGAGCGGCGGTGGTGATGGGCGATGGCGGATGGCTAGCGAGCTGGGGCGGGCAATCGGCATGTGGCAGGCAACAGTGGATGGCTGGCCGGCAAGTGGCGGCAACGATGGGTGGCGGCGGACCGCCGGCGGTTAGAGGTTAGTGGGCGGCGGTGGGCGGCGATGTGCGGCAAGGGTGAGCAATAAAAAAGAGTTGTTATTTCTATTTTTGTTTCATAAATAGAAAAGTAAAAAATCTTAACTTCTCATTTCTGTTCCAAATCTATTTCTAGGCCAAAATTTGTCCCAGAAATAAAAAAAAAATGAAATTATTTTACCAAACGGATTTTTGTTTCAAACCTGTTCATGGAAAAAGAAAAAGAAAAAGAAAAAGAAAAAGAAAAAGAAAAAGAAAAATAGGAAAACAAAATGGTTATCATTCGTATCCTTAATGGGTCTTCAAGTAATTGGACCTCACATTTTTGCATCCGAGCTATAAATAGAATTCCACATTTATATGTCTAGGAAGAAACTTTCAACAAGTAATCCATTAAATAATCGGTACAGCAATGTTTTAAATACACAACTGTGGAAGAAATTGACAAAGGCCGCGACCCGCAAGACCAAGCTAGACGAGACGAGGCGCCGTGGCGAGATTCAACAGAAAAAAAGATCGAGCGGTGCCTCAAGAGAGACTGGAGAGAGAGAGAGAGAGAGATGGGCCAGATCTAAGAAAGCGCCGCTGACGAGAGAGGGAGAGGGGCCGGTTCGATCCTGTTTCCGGTTGAACCGGACCGAATGCACGCCCCTAGTTTCGAAGGCACATGTGTCATGGTCGAGATGCTTCTCTTTAACTTGGGTTTCCGGATCTTCTACTTTCATTTCATTTCCATTTCGGGTCATGGTCAACAAGCCCAGAATCGGACAGAATGCACATTCCTATTGAGGGCACATTTGTCTCGGTGAAGACGCTTCTTTTTATTTTGGGTATCTTAATCATTTTCTCAAATTTTATTTCCATGTCGGGTCATCACCACCTCTTCCTGTATCTCCTCAAGCCCTATATATACCGCGCATCTCACTCCCCTCTCTCATCACCTTTCTCTTCACATCTCATAAAACACGCACAGATTACGCAATTCTCTTCCAGTTTAGTTTGAAGCCGTGCTCGTCCAAGCTCAGTGAAATGGCAATGTCACCAGAGAATGAACATCCAGTGAAGGCTTTCGGATGGGCAGCCACAGACTCTTCAGGACATCTCTCTCCCTTCAAGTTCTCAAGAAGGTAATGTGACTTGGTTTTTTCTTTTCGTTGATTCTTATTTTGGGTGCATCTAAAAGTACAACAGTGGGGAGCATCTATTTCTCGACATTCATTGATTTTCTTTTTTCCAGGGCCACCGGAGAAAAGGATGTAACTTTTAAGGTATTATATTGTGGTATATGTCATTCTGATCTCCACAATGTCAAGAACGAATGGGGAGTAACTCCTTATCCCGTTGTGCCCGGGTATGACTTTTCAAAACCAGCATCCTTTTCGATTCTCTTAGATAAATAAACGACATTTTTAGCCACTAATTATACTAATTGGCCATTATATGTAGACATGAGATTGTAGGTGTGGTTACCGAAGTGGGCACCAAAGTGACAAAATTCAAAGTCGGGGACAAAGTGGGTGTTGGATGTATGGTCGGATCGTGTCACTCCTGTGCAAATTGCAAAGATGATCTTGAGAATTACTGTCCCAAAATGATCCTGTCCTATGGTGCAAAGTACTATGATGGAACCGACACCTATGGTGGCTATTCGGACATCATGGTATCAGATGAGCACTTCGTGATTAAAATCCCCGACAACTTACCTCTTGATGGTAGTGCTCCCCTCCTTTGTGCTGGGATCACTGTCTATAGTCCATTGAAGTACTACGGGCTTGATAAGGCCGGAATGCATATAGGGGTGGTTGGGCTTGGTGGGCTTGGTCATATGGCTGTAAAGTTTGCTAAGGCCATGGGCCTCAAAGTGACCGTCATAAGTACCTCACCTAATAAAAAGAAGGAAGCCGTGGACCATTTGGGAGCCGATGCATTCTTGATTAGCCGTAACACAGAAGAGATGGAAGTAAGTCATAGTCACAATGGGTTTTTTTTATTTGATGATGTATAGGGATAAGGTCAACCGAATGTAGATTTATGTTATTATCTTTTTTTAATTGTAGCTTGCGATGGGTACGATGGATGGCATCATTGATACAGTCTCGGCTATGCATGTTCTTTTGCCGTTGATCGGACTCTTGAAAAATAATGGAAAGCTTGTCATGGTTGGTGCACCAGCGAAGCCGCTTGAACTACTTGCATTCCCACTCCTCATGGGTAAGCCTAAGCAAGTCTTTTGAGTTTTGTTGTACTTGGAAAAAACTACCTACATAATTGGTGTTCAAGATCAAGTTTTAATGCTTTTTAGTTTTAGTAGATGATTACTTCTGAGTTTAATGAGTGCAAAAACAGTAACGATTAAGACCAACGACAGGTAGAAAGATGGTGGGAGGAAGCTGCATTGGAGGGATGAAGGAGACGCAAGATATGATTAATTTTGCAGCAAAGCACAACATAATCGCGGATATTGAGCTCATTCCTATGGATTATGTGAACAATGCCATGGAGCATATATTAAAAGCCGATGTTAAGTATCGATTTGTCATTGACATTGCCAATTCATTGAAGCCTTTCTAATGATGATTCTGGTGGATTACTACTTGGCTGAGTGTATCTTGTTATCTCATAATCATGTACTACAACTAAGATTTTGCTTCTACTTGTTATCTCATAATCATGTACCCATTGGAATAACTTTGACTACTTAGTGTAGATAGCGACCTTATTTTAGGTCGTTATCCTCAGAAAGTATGCAATCCACAAAATCACAAGAGTTCTTTCATGTGTTTGTAAGTAAAAAACCAATTCAACGTGCCATGACTTGTAAATTTCCGGGTTGGGTTGGATCAGATCGAGTCAAATTGTTTTAACCCGGTTTGATCCGACATGAGGATAAGCTTCTTTATCTTTTTTTGTTTGAATCATAATTGAAAATATAAAAATTTGAAATAGTCAAAGTCACACAATATCCCGTCTTGTTAGCCATGGAAGAAGCATATATTTTCTATGATTCCGTATTATGAATGTGTTGAATCGAAACAATTTGAACAACACAGACATTCTAAGATTCGTTTACTAAATTTGTTCATGACAAAATTTGGTTGGCTTAAAAGGCCATTGACTTGAATAAAAACTTACAGAGCATTGCATCACTGAATAAATTAAGTACACGAATCTTAGTAACGCTGACATTGCTCAAATAATTTACTAGTTGGATTGGGTCAAACTACATTTGACCTGACTTGACCCGAAATATGAAGAAATTTCATTTTTTTTTGTTTTTGCTTGAATCATCATAATCACAGTTGAAAATTGGGAATAGTTGAAATTATACAATATTCAACTTTGTTAGCTAAGATATATGTAATGCATTGGATAAAAAAATATAATTTATATAATTTCAAAGGAGTGTCACTTTTTTGGTGGGAAGCTAAAATTGGATACCATCGTGCTAATGTCTGAGCTTTATTAGCATAAATTTTTGTTTTTCTTAATTAGTAAAAAAAGGTATCTGGTACAGTATTTTCCTTATATGATACTCTTTAGGTGGTTAGCCTTATTATGATTTTTAAACATTTTTTCTTTGATTCAATAGTCTATTTAGATTCCGTTTGCTTCACGAAAAATATGACATTTATGGGCAATGTTCTAGAATTTTCCAGGAAAATGATAATATTTTTCGATATTTAGCTAAAACGTAAAAACGGACAAGAAAATATTTTATGTCGTTTGGTAAGTGAACTTACTTTATTTTGCTAAAGAAAGATGTAGTATTGGGCGTTAATGACTTGGACACGGATAGGCAGGGATATGGACATGAGCACTTGGGTCCACAATGGCCAGATCTTGAACCTCAACGCCCATGCCTAGGTTCCCGACGCTTGGACCTCGGTTCATGGATTTCACACCTGGGTCCACATAGCCCGGGCCCAGGATCCGAGTGCCTAGGCTTGCGTCCATCAAGGCCAATCCTAGGACCCCGGTGCCCAGGCTCAAGTCTACTAAGGTTGGGCCGAGAGCCTGATGCCCATGCCCTAATCCTCAGAGCTTACACCTAGGTTTGTCGAGGTCGGGCCCTAGTCCATAGAGACCAGCCTAGGATCTTATTGCTCGTGCCTGAATCTCTAGCACCCGCGCCCGAGTCAATTAATGCTAGGCGAGGGTTAATTGAGGCCACATTTGGGACCCCGAGAGTGTTCCACGCTCAAGATCAATGGACCCAAGCTTGACCTTGTCAACCCAAGCCCGACCTCCATGGACTCAAGCCCGGGTGCCAAAAACCTTAGCATTAGCCGACCGATGTGGACTCGGACCCGACATTGATGGACCAAAGCCAAGTGTTAGATATTTGGGCATGAGCACCAAGGTCCTCAGCTCGAACTCGATGAACCTAAGTCCGACTTCAATGGATCCAAGCCCCAATGTCAAGAACTGGGCACAAGCTCTGGGGTCCTGAGCTTGGGCGTCGACGATTCGTGCATGGGTACTAGGGTCCTAAGCTCGGTCCCAATGGACTCATACTTGAGAGCCAAGGACCCAAGCCTAAGAGAAGGGACCAGGGTTTTGGCATTAGTGTCCTTAGCCTAACATCCATGGACTCGGGCCAATGTACCAGGGACCCGATCTCGAGTATTGAGGACCCAAGCATGGCCTTGATGGACTAGGGCTCGGGTGCTATGAACCCAAACACAGGCTCTGGGGTCCAGGGCCCTACCTTGATGGAACAGAGCTAGAGCATCAGGGATTCGAGCACGAACATTGGGGTCCTAAGCCCAGACTCCATGGACCCGCGCCCAACCTTGTTAGACCGAGGATTTGGTGCCAGGGAGCTGAACACGAGTTTTGGGGTCCTAAGCTCAATCTTGATGGACCTAGGTACCAGCAATCCAAGCACGGGCATTGGGGTCTCAAGTCCAACCTCAATGGACCTGAGCTCGAGGGCTAGGGACTAGGCACAGGCCCCACCTCCATGGACTCGGGCCAAGTTTCTGAGGACCCGGGCACAGACATTGGGGTCTCAGGATTGGCTTCGTTGGACAAGGGCCTAGGCAGGTCCAAGGCACAAGGATTAACGTCTTAAGGACGAGCGACAAGGTCTCAAGCCTGTTTTCTGTGGACCCTTGTTAGGGTTTTTGTGTCCAAGCACAGTGTCTCTAGTCCAAATGATGGTATCTAATCATATATTGGAAAATAATTTCTTGATTTTTGAAAGAGGAAATCATTTTCCTAAATATAAGCATAGGTCTTTCGTTGATTAGGAAAATATTTTTCATTGAGTCATTTTCCTAAATGATCCAAACAATGAAAAATAATGAAAATGTTTTCCAAGAAACAAACGGAACTTAATCATAGTCATTCTAAGAGTTTTCCAATTTCTGTTTAATTAGTTATTATGATGTATTGAGCAAATTAATTATGTGGTTATATAAAAGCTATCATAAATTCGCGACCATTACACAAATTTTCTAATTATTCACTTGTCAAAGATATACTTCTTAGAAATATTTGCACCGGAAAAACAAAAATAGGGTAAAACAAGCGTTAACTTTGTTTGAAAAGGATTGTGTACGAGTTGATCAAATGTTACCTATTTAGAACGACCCCTCTAATGGCTTAAACCCGGACATGGGTCAGGATCCGAACCCGCCTTAATCCGTCTGATTGCTAGGTCTACATTTAAGCATACAACCTAAATAATTATTGCACGTCAAAATCATGATTCACATCTTTTCTTGGCTAAACATCATGAAATAGGATTTTTTTGCCTAAAAAGAACACGAAAATCCAAAAACCAAGCAAGCTTGAACCTACCTGAATAAACTTGGTTTCGGTTTCTTTGGGTGTGTATGGAAACATTTATGCTATTGGGAACAATTTTTGTTCAGAAATTAATTTTTTTATTTCTATTCCCTAGACAAGTTTCTAAGCAAAAGAAAGCGTTTGGTAACTACATAAAATTTTTATTCCCGAAATAGAAAAAGAATAGAAATGCGTTTGGTACAACCCTAAAAATTTCTATTCCCAATTTTATTTCATTTAATTATAAAAATATCAGTGGAAACTTAATAATTCATGTTTGGATAAAACTGGATTTTTGTAAGGACTTAACTGATCGAGATATTATAAGATAGCCTTAGAAAATCCAATGTAATTGTCACGCCTCGAACCCCAATACGCGCAACATCCCTCGCAAGGTCAAATTTGATGCGACGTCCCAGGACGCGTCGCCGACCCAACGCCCAACACAAAGAGCATTGCACATGCGGAAACAATATATAAATAGCCCGTACCATAATCAGAAAATGACCAAGGGTAGAGCAATAACAACCAGCATTGCAAAATAACTACTTGCACTAACCGGGGAAACATATACATCATCCAATACACCAAAATATACACCCCGAACCAAAATCGGGTCAAAGGCCACTAACAGACAAAAAGGGGTAAGTGGCCAGGCGGTTGGGTTAACGAACTTCCCTGTAGGTTAGGCCTGTCTTCCAAAAAGCGACTGGTCAGACCTCTTCTACACAACCCCTAAACTAGCTCTGAGGCACCTAGGGGTCATCCTCCACCTGACCATCTTCTGAATCCTCTGACTCTTACTTCGGAGGAACTGCTTGCAAAGGTGGTACAGCCAGCGGCTCCCCTGGGGGCACTATGGGCGGCTCCTTAATCGGCTCCTCAGGATCCACGATCTCGCTATCGGGAGGCCTGATCGCCGAAGGGTCCCACTCACCAACGCCGTCATAAGGGGGTTCGAAACTCCTCAGGGGGCCGGTCTCCTCAATACCGTCTTGAAACGTCCACGCCACGTACGGATAGGACTTCAGGTATAAACCACCCTCGTCAACCCAAACCACGCTTGTGTGTTTCACATAAGCCCGACCGTCTCCAAGAGGATACTCCACCTGCTGATTGTCCACATGACTGGGGATTCCAAAACGAGGAGGTGGGTTTCCTGGGTTCATGGCGAGGTCTGAAATATTGGGTTTTAACAACTATGAGACGAATCTCAGTAAGTAAAATCCTCTAAACCTAAACTAGGCTAATATGCACCTCCTGACAGGCAACAAAACACCACAACAAAAGCCACAACAACAGACCTAGGCCCTCGGCCCAAATCAATCACACAACTGACCCTGCAGGTTAGGCATTTCAATATAATAATCAAGTCACGTACGCGAACACACCATCCATACGTACGCCATACGCATGCTCATGCTCAATAGTGTTCGTTTCGCATGCCATTCACCGAGTCTCACACGCTCGCACACTGGCCCATGCATTCTTATGCATGCAAATGTCATCATCATGCCATGTTTCATTCTGGCTCACACTGCACACTGGCTCAATGCTCAATTATCAAATTAATACGACCCGCGTAAAACGCATTAGGTCTCTTTCTTAAATCACAACACTTCGTGGCCCGCGTAAAACGCATCTTCGGCCCAATGTCTCTAGCCTGCTTCAAAGTGCCTGAGGCGCAATACCGATCTCCTCACGAACCAGAGTCCGCGTAAAACGCATCAGGTTGGTCGTCATACGGACGTACCGGGCATCGTCCCCCGTAAAACACATCAGGACGGCACACCCCGCGTAACACGCATCAGGGCGAAATGTGATCACACATACACACAGCCAGTTATTATCTAAACCCCGCGTAACACGCATCAGGGCGATTAGGTGATCACATGCTCATGTCAGGCACGCATTCTCGCACAATTCTCATCTCACGCCCCATACTCAGCATACGAAATGCGTGGCC